ACGCGGGAGGGCGGCCCCCCGCGGGGCGCCGGGGCTGCCGGCCGCCGTCCCCGGCCTCCCTCGTGACCTTGGGGAAGCCGCTGCGCCTGGCTGGGGAGGGGGCGCTGCGTGCGCGGGAGCGGTGGGCGTGGGGCGCCCCCGGGAGCTTGGCCAGCCAGGCAGCTGGCAGAGTCAGGAGGAAGGGTTGCCCCAGCCGGCCTTCGAGTTTGTGGGAGGGCCCTGGCCAGGAGACCTCATTTCCCATGGACGTGAAGTTGTACTTGGTGGCTGGGTGCCCAGGCTAGCCCGCAAAGGTCTACTAAGCCTCCTGAGCCCGGAAACGGCGTCCTGTCCCGGGTGAGCTCTGGAGATGCTGCCTCCCTGGAGAGCGGCTGGGGCTTGTCCGCCAGTGTGGGCATCCCGGGACAGCTGCTGAACTTGTCCCCAGGGGGCCTGTCTCCTGGGTACTACTGTGGTAGACAGAGGGTGGGCTTGGGCCTGTGCTCTGCTGCAGGGGCCCCCGCCATGCTCCAGGCGGCCACTCTGGGCTGCTTTGAGCCCCTCATCCAAGCGAAGGGTGGGGCGCATTGATGGAGCTTGGTTCCCTCTCCCGCAGCTGCACATAAAGCTCACAAGCCAGTACTTTGGAGGCAGGGGAGGGAGCCCTTTTAGAACACAGACTATTTTGTAAAAAGTTGTGACAAGTAATAACAATAGCAGCAGTAGGGGCTTATGGTAGAGGAACTCACAGTGCCGAAGCTGTGGAAGTAGGGATCCCCTGCATCCGCATGCCCGACGCCAGAGGCAGCCCTGGCGCTGGCTTGTTGTATACATTTCTGTGCAGGCGTACACCACCGTGTGTGTGCACAGATATATTTTTACACATGGCTCTCGACAGCTGTCTGACTGTCAGCAGCAGGTCTCAGGGCTCAGGCCAGGGTGGGGGTGGGAGGGGACATCCCAAGTTCTTTGAGTCCAGCCCTGTGCCTCTAGGCCACTCCTACTCAGTGTCAACAGAGCCCCCTGTGCCACTGTGTGGGGCTCAGAGCCCTGTCCTCAGCAACATCTCCCTCTGGTCTGGTTTGCTGGTCTGTCATTGCCATGCGCCTGCTGAGGGCTTTGGATACTCTTCCTTGGGCAAGGTGTGGTTTTCCCTGTCCTGGCATCAGACACAAGGCAGTGGAGCCTTCCTGCTGTTCTAAATTTGGCTTAAGACAGTGCAAAGCGACCCTCTCTGGGTGCCCAGCCCCTGCCTCAGGAGGCCAGAAAAGTGGCCCAGTAGGAGATCATCTAGACTGGCTGTAGAAAGACCCGTGTTGGGATCTATTCCAGGGAGGTCTTCAGGTTCTTTACCTACTCTGGAGGTCCCAGAGAGGACTCTCCTGCCTTTAGGAGTGCCTGTGGAGGGGTAGCAAGGGACCGCTATCAGGAAGAGCATGCCAAGTGCTATTTCCTGGGATGCCCAGATGTGTGATGGGTTTTGAGGGATGCCTAGGAGTTCACCCAGCTGGGGAGCAATGGGTAGGGCCGTGCAGCATCAGTGGCCAAAGTGTGTTAAGCAAGGGCTGGCTGGTGGGCCACTGCAGGGCACAGGCTTACACAGTGCCCCCCTCTCCTGTTTGTTGCCTGCTGAATGCTGTAATTATGGGTCTGTAACCACCCTGGACTGGGTGCTCCCCACTGACGGCACCGTCTGAGCCTCTCTTTGTCCCCAGAGCCCAGCACTGGGCCTGGCAAAACCAGAGATGCCTGATAGACGTTGGCCGAATGAATGAACCAGATTCAGACCGGCAGGGGTGCTGTGGTTTAGGAGGGGCCTGGGGTTTCTCCCCGGGAGGTTTTTAGTGTCACCCTGGAGGGCTCTGGGCTCTCATTTTCTCCAGGCGCCTGCACTCCTGGTCCTGCCTTTTTCATGTTTGAATTTCTCTGCTTTCTCAGTCTGGGGAGTGGGCAGGAGGAGGCCTGTGCCCTGCCTCGGGGATCCCAGTCTGTGGGTAGAAACACCACAGAAAGGGAGAGCAGACGGGAGCAACCAGCACCAGGGGTTCAGGGAGGCCGAGCCAGCCAGGGCCAAAGCAGCCAGAGGGGCTGCCTGGAGGAGGCGGCCTCTTGGCTGGTCTGGCAGGGTAGGGAGGCTGGGATGGGAGTGATTTGTACAGGGGCCAGGGAAGTGGGAATGGGGGAAGTGGGCATGCAGCCGGCTTTGAGGGCGGGGAGGAGAGGCCCGTGGCAGGGGCTGAAGCCCGGCTGAGGAGAGGCCTAGGTGTGGGGAGCAGTGTTGAGTAACACGGGTTTTATGTCAGGCGGCGTGAGTGTTTGGGGAAGGGAAGGCTGGCAGCGGGGAGTGAGATGGGGACAGGGGTCTGAGCTAACAGGAGTTCAGGTCCCATGGGAGGGCAAACTTGGGCCGAGACCCCGAGGTTGGTGGGATGGAAGAGCCGACCCCAAGTCGGACACAGCCTCACACACTCCCCTTGCTTCTTGCAGACGCTGAGTCCGGGCCGGCTGGCTGGGGAGAGCCCGCCTGAGAGGAGATCGTGAGCATTGCCTGGGCCGTCCAGCCTTCTGCAGCCCGGGCGCCATGAACGACGTGGCCATCGTGAAGGAGGGCTGGCTGCACAAACGAGGTGGGTGCCTATCGCGGGGGCCAGGGGACGGGGACTGCCCCGTGGTCTGCCCGGGGGTCTCAGAACCGGCTAGTCCGCTGGGCCTGTGGGGCTCCTTCAGGGGTGGATGCTTTGGTGACCCCAAGGTCTGCGAGTGCTTGTGCCAAGCCTTGCTGGTTGGGGGAGTGCCTCCCTCCCAGGGCTCCTGGACCGGCGCAGAGTCCTGCAGCCTGGAGGGGAGGCCTCGCGGGGCCTCCTGGGTGGGAGGCCCTGTGCAGGGCCGGCTGACCAAGTGGCTGGCTGGCCGGGCCTGGTGGGCGGGGACAGTCGCTGCCAGCCTCCCTCCTGGCTTTCCTGGAAGGCAGTGGGGACACTGGGCCATTCCAGGGCCTGGCATGCTGGTGGCTCAGGGCTCCTGAGGGCAGGCAGGGCAGGGCTGCTTGGCTTGGCCCAGCGCCTGCCTTAGGCCTGGGCAGTGGGGAGTGGAGGGCTCCGTACCACCCAGGGGCCTGGGTGCGGGGCGCATTTGTGCTGGAGCTGCAGAGTGGGCTGGGCGCAGCACATCCAGCCTCCACCCCTCACTCACATGACCCTGCAACCTCTGAGGGGCCTGGCGAGGAGCCTGTGGGATGGGCGCTGCGGCCACGGCACCTAACCTTCCAGCTCTGCTCACGGCCCCTGCCGTGCACATCCTCTGTTGCTGGGGGTGGGCAGTGGGGGTGGGTGGGCTGTTCTGCTCCTCCGTCCAGCCAGGGCCCAGCTTTATGTCCAGGTGCCTTGGGCGAGTCACTCCCTCCTGCCTTCCTCTTGCTCCAGACCTTTTTCCTCCTAGAGCTCTGGTGACCCTGTGCACGGCTCACCCCTCCTCATGTGCACCCTCCAGCAGATGGAGCCCACATCTTCTGAAGGGGTCACCCTAGGTACAGATAGAGCTGGGGTATGGGGGTGGCACAAGGGGGTATCACCAGCTGGGGTTTTGTGGGGTGTATAGGAGAGCAGGCCTGGGAAGCTGCAGCGGCCGGGGAGGAGGCGAAAGCATGACCGAGAGGAGAGGCCGGGGGCTCGAGGCGGGACCAAGGAGAGCTGGATGGGAGCTGCGGGGACCAGCCCACTGGACCTCAGGGTGGGGCCAGGAGGCTGCGGGGGCCTGTGGTCCCTGGAGAGACCCTCGCCTGGCTTCCCCCCAAGGCCTCTTGCCCCCACCTGCCTTCTCCATCCCCTCCCCCAATGCTGCCCCTCCTCGTGCCCCCAGGACCCCCCTTGATCACATCTGGCCCTTCTGCCTCACTTCACAACCTCCTTTGGTATTGGGGACCCCTGCCCTGTCCCCTGTTCCTCTCTGCTGTGCCGCACACAGTCTGCGGCCTGGGGCTGCTGCTTAATCCTCGGCAGACGTTTGTTGACCGGCTGTTAGATTTAGGGCCGACCCCCCAAGGCCTGGGCCTCAAGACTACCCAGGGGCCTGGGCCGCAGTCACCGAAGCATCTGCTGGTCAGGAGTGCCCCCTCCGAGGCCTCGGTGAGTTTCAGGTTGCTGCTTATGGGTGGTGCCTTCGAAAGGTCTGGGTGGGAACAGGGGATATTAGGCCACTCTGTCACTGTGTCCCCGTCCAGGGACAAGTTCACTGAGCTTCTCGGGCCTTGGTTTCACCATCTCTACTGTGGGAGTGGTGAGGGGGTGAAGACCTGGTGGAGTAGAGAATGTGGTTCGTGGGGCCCTGAGTCAGCGTGCAGGCAGCCTAGCAGCCCCTAGGCCCACTGCCCAGCCCCGGCCTCAGGCCAGGAGGGAGGGTCCTGTCATCCCTGCTTTCTGGCCCTTCGCCTCCATCCCATGTCGTGGGGCGGCCAAGGGTGGGAGGCAGCAGGACATGCTGCATGCCCACGGCAGGTGCTGGCCTCTCTGCTGCCTTGAGTAGGCCGGCATCCTGCTCTGGCTCAGGCCCGTGTCCCCTGCACAGCCTTCCCCTGCTTGCCAAAGAAGTCCTGTCCTCGAGGGGCCCCTCACTTCCCCCAGTCCGTCCCGCTGGGGACCTTCTGTGTGTTGCAGACTCGTTCCCTGCCTAGTGCTGCAGGGCTAGGTCCCACCCACAGCACTGGCTTGCTTGTGGCTCCAGTCCCTCTGTTCTCCTCCCCTGGACTGAACCCTCCCTGCCTCTGGCTGTTCAGACCTGGCTGGAGGGTGGACAGGAGGGAGGGACACATGACTGTCCTCAGGGCCCGGCCTGGCCCCTCTCAGGTGCCCTGTGCCATGCCTCGCTTCTTGCAGCTGCAGGTTGGGGTGCTGCCCTGGGGGTGGGCTGGTCTCCCTGCATCCAGCCCAGGGCCTGGAGCACGCTGGTTCTTGGCTGACCCCAGGGTGACAGTCCCACCACGGCTACTGGCTGGTCACGTGTGGAATGATGGTGCCTCCAGAGGCTGCATGGGCGTTGAGATGAGAGTGGGTGGGCGTCCTGCTGCGAGTGAGGGGTGGTGTGGGGTGTCTGGCCACCTCCTCCTGCCCATTAGGAGGTGGTGCCCATCTCTGGGGAGTGACCCTAGGCTGCTTCCTGGCTGTGTGCTCTGGGCCAGAGGAGCTGGGCCTGGCCATCAGGGCCTGGGGGACAGGCGGACAGATGTCTCAAGCTGTGGGGGGACATCCAAGTGACGAGCAGCTGTAGCTCAGCTCCAGCCACTGGTGGCCACTCCTGGCGGGCTGGGTTGCACAAACACTCCAATTTTCAAAGATTTTGTCTCTTATGCGAGCCCCCTGTTTTTTGAATGCTGAAAATTTTTAAAAGCCAACGCTGGGCCCAAAAGTAGGTCTGGGTGAATGAGGCCTGTGGCCTCTGGTTTTCAATCTTGAAATTATAAAATAGCTGTGTGTTAAGGCGTCAGGTCCGTGTCTGTGCAGCTGCTTTGGGGTGTCGTACCCACCAAAGGCTGGCCCATCCCGCCCATACCACCCCGGCTGCAGCCCAGCCCCCTGGGAAGCTGCCTGGGGGAGCCCCCAGCCCTTGGGGTCCTGCTCCTGTCCACCCAACCTGGCAGGGCCCAGGGGGCCAGAAGGGGGCAGAGGAGGGCAGCCAAGACGTAGGGACGCAGGGCAAAGGGGCTGGGGGCTCTAGAGCAGGCCCGGCCTGGGAAGGGAATAGGCTGCCACCAGAGAGGCGCCTCCTGGGCTCACCCAGGCTGGCTGCCGGCTGACAGGGACCCAGTGAAGAGGAGCCAGCCTGGTTGGTGCAGGCTGTTCCCACAAGGGGGTGGGGGGTAGAGGGTGGTTCCCTCTCCCGTGTCCCGTGGTGTCTGTGACACAGACCCCCACTGCATCTCCGTCCTGGCCCCTGCTTTCCAGCTGGTCCAGGGGTCCCTGTAGGGGGTAGGGGTCCATGGAGGGTGCAGCCCCCTGGTGTCCTGCGCTTTGCTGAGTTGACACCTGTGGAAGAGGCCTGTGGGGGCTTGTTGAGCCCACTTCAGAGAGCAGACATCCTCGGAGGGTCACGGCTCGTGTGTGAATGGAGGCCACTCATTTCCCTGCAGGGTGAGGGCTCAGCAGGACCACCAAGGGAAGGCGCCTGCAAACCTTCCCCTCAGCCTGTGCGAACCTTGTGGGCTGGAGAGGGCAGGGCTGCCTGAAGCTCCTTGGGCCTCAGTTTCCCTGTCAGGCGGTGCTGCTGTGGCTGTGGTTTCAGTCCCTGAGTCTACTAGGCCTTGGGACAGTTAATGTGAAGCTCCAGTTCTCCTGTGGGGAGCATGAGGGTCACAGACACCCCCATGGGCAGGACAGGGCGGCCAGGCCCCAGGGCGGGAGGAGGTGCTGGGGGCACTTGGTCGGTGCCTGGGTAGGAGTGAGGGAGCGGTGGGTGCAGGTGGTGTCAGGCAGGAGTGCTGGGCAGAGAGTGGGACCTTGGCACCCCTGGGCCCACCGGGCCGAGGGCATGGGAGGTGTGGGCCTGGTGGAGACCGTGGTGCGTGGCTGTGGCTGAGGCCTGCCAGTGTTGGGGCTGTTTCCTGTTTTGTGAGCATGTTGAGTTCGCCCTTCAAAAACAAACAACCGAAGAGGAAGCTGAGGTGGCCCTGCACTGGGGGTGAGGGGCCACTGTGGGCCCCAGCCTGGACCCCTGGGTAGTTCCCCAGCAGGCAGCCTCCTGTCCCTGCTGCCTGGTCACCGGAATTCTCAAGGCAGGGATGCCCTATGGGGGTTGGGAGAGGGGGGCTGGATTCCATGGGAGTTCACAAGGAGGGGAGAGGAGTCGGGACAGGGCTATGAGACCCATGTAGCTGCTGGGACCCTAGAACAACCTCTGCAGACCCCCTCAGCCACCCCATGGGGTAGCAGAATGTACATTGCACATAAGGGAAATGGAGGCCTGGAAGGAGGAGGGGACGGAACGTGGGTGGGATGGTTTCTGTGCCCACTGCAGACCCCTGTCCCCCCACCCCTCCCGAGGGCCTGGCTGGGCCGCCTCAGGTTGTGTTCCTAGAAGTGCTGTGGGAGGGGGCCCAGGGAACCGGCTGGGCTGGGGCTGGCGTCCCCTCTGCCCGGCACACCCAGGCCGGGCTCGGAGCCAGCTCCCTGCCCTCAGGCCCTCCTATAACTGGAGCCAGCGGCGGAGGCTCTGCGCCTACTTCCCGGGCTGCCCCATGGTGGGCAGATGTCCGTCACTCCTGCCCCTCGGCATGCCCAGCCCCTGTCCTGGGCCCCATGAGAAGGCTGCGCTGGCCCAAGCCCTGGGCCCCACTTGTCCTCCACTCCTTCATGCCCAGTGGGGGCCCACCTGCCTTCCTTCCTCCCTGTGGATACCTTTTTCTTTAACCTTAAAAATAACAGGTCCACATTTCAGAAACATTGGGATTGAGTGGGGTGGGTTTCATGGCAGCTCTGCTGCCTACCCTGGGGGCCTACGGGAAGGGTCCCTGGGGTGGGGGGTTTGGGTTTGAGGATCCCTGGGTGGGCCCCTGAACTGCAGCCCCCACCCTTAGCCCTGAGTAATCTCTGGGTGGTCCCACCTGCCCAGCTGGTTGTCAGGGTCGGGTGGGACTTTC